GTCTGACTGAAAGTCATTACCATCTGGGGGTGGACTGGCAGCTTCCATGAAACAACTGATCGTCTCAGTCCATTTCAGCTTCTGGATGGAAACTGAAAAGAGGCTAGTTTGTAGCTGCATTTTATTTTTTATTTTTATTTTTTTAGGGATTTGACAAAGTGGTTTTTACCCACAAAAGCTTTGCCCACATAAATCTGTTAGTCTTTAAAGCTATGTCTACACTACAGACTTCTTGTGCAAGAAGCTTTTTGTGGAAGAGCTCTTCTCCAAAAATGTCTTGCAAAAGAGTGTGTCCACCCTGAAAATGCACATTTAAAACGTGATGCACTTCAGCACAGGGGAGCACCCAGACTGCATGGACGCTCTCTCAAAAGTAAACTGATTGCTATTTACAGAATAGCCACCAGGGCACCTGTGCTTTTTTCGATTGCCTCTTTTTGCACCAAAAAACCCTGTTCCCCATCCACAGCTCTTGTGTAAAAAGGAGTTACTCCTCGTAGAAGCAGGAATACCTATACTGGAAAAACCCCTCTGTTCTTTCATTTTACTTGTGCAAAAATGCGCTTGAGGTGTGGGCGCCTCATGAGTTTTTGCGGAAAAACAGCCGTTTTTGCGCAAAAACTCTGTAGTGTAGACCTAGCCTAAGTCTTTAGTCTCTAACAGTATTCCTCATTGTTTTTGCTGATACCGACTAACATGGGTATCCCTCTGAGCCTTTTAGGGATTGTTACACCAATTGATTTGAGGGAACTTATTCTATTTTCTGTTTTGCAAAGCAAATGGCAGAACACACTGGCAAGTGGTATGGTAATGTTTGAGAGAAAGGACCGTCTTGTACCCAGGAGATCTGCTCCCTTTGTACATCCAGGAAAACTTCTTCTGACTTTTCTCACAGAAAACACAAGTGCCCTTAACACTCTTGATGTTCATAGAAGCTAAGAGTTCTCTGTATTATGCTATATTCTATACTATATTCTATATATTGTAATGAACTCACTGGTGGGCCTATGTCTGCCTGCCTTCTGCTGGCTGGAAACAGAACCTGCTTGTGTGTGTCATAGATCCTACACTATTAACCATTAATGGAGATTCTTCTTTATCTCAAGGGTAAAATTCTGTGCTGGGGGGGACGGAGGGAAAACAGCAAACAGGTGAATGAATGTAAGCTTGATTTCCTGATACAAAGAAGCTCTAAGTAGCTATGCTTTACAGGACAGCAACGGCATTTAAGATCCTCTAAAATCAACAGATGAGTTGCAAAATAATATGGAATACAGCCAGGTAAGTCATCTCTTTACCAACCTGATTACTAGCTATACCTTTGGAGGGCTTTGCTGCTTAGCTTTTCCAAAAAAGAGCCTGTCCTAGAACTTTCAAATGAGACATGAGCTTTGATCACCTGAAACTGGAGAAACTGCCAGGTTGCATTGATTTGCTCTTATTCCGCAGTACCTTTAATCAGTAACCAGAAGTGGTTCCCCTCCCCCCCCCCCACCTGTTACTGGGCTGGAACAGAGGCTGGCTTTCCAAATGCTGGTAGGTCTTTCTCCCACCCAGAGAGAGAAAGCTCACAGCCTCTGACTCAGATACCATTACACATAATACTCAGTGCTTACTATGAATGTAGTAGAGTCAATCATATTTATTTTGTTCTGACTACACCTCTATTTATATCCTATTGCTCTTCACTGAAGGTTGCTAGATCTGCCTAAAATCAGCAGCTGCCCATTACTTTAGAAGTGTGTTTCCATTATGAGCTGGATGTTTTGGGTATTTTTACAAACAGCTCCTATTAATCTAAGCTTGGTCATATTCCAGTCATTCTGAAGGTAACCTTGTAGGAATCCTCAGTTCCATTTCTTATTTATTTCTAAGGGGAGGAGAAAAAGGTTGTGTCGTCTCAAAGATAAGTGTCAGTTACTCAAGCCAAGCAGGAAAGAAACTGGATCCTTCCAGTGAATTTCTAAAAGTTACTGACAGAAAATGCTACAAGAATGTTAGCCCCTGCATGCCAAAAAAATAAGACTAGATCCTACAATGATGGGTGCATTCAGTCAGTCTGAGACTGACATATCACATGTTAATGGGCTCAGTATTTTTAATTTACACATGATACCTTTGAAATATAATAATTATGTATGTATTTGAAAAAAGAATGATTCCACTTTGCATGGAAAGAAATGTCTCTTTAGATAGCGGGCCATGTCCTTTTCACATTAAATGCAAACAGAAGGTAGCATTTGCAAATACCCCTCAGTCACTTAGGAGCATAACTGCTGTGATTTTTCACATGAAAGCTGAGATTTTTCAGAAATGCTCAGCTGCAGCCTAACTCTGTCCCTCTGAAAAAATCTCATCATGAAGAATTAATGATTATGATTTGGCAATATAATTATCATCATAATAAATCCCTGTCTCTCAGTTGGTATTTTTTATCCATAAATCTCAGAGCACTTTACAAAGGAGATCAATAGCATGATCCCAATTTTACAGATGAGGAAACTGAGGCATGGGAGGGCAGTGAATTACTCAAAGTCACCCAGGAGGCCAGTGACAGAGATGGGAATAGAATCCAGGTCTCCTGGGTTCCATTCTAGTAGTGCTCTATCCCCTGGACCTTCTTTTTCTGAGTCTGACTCATTGTTAAATGCACTTTATTAATACTTGAGATTAGCAAACCCTATACCCAAATTGACCACAATAATATAACTGAAGAGCCCATATTATATATAAGGCTGGAGCTAGGGGAAGACTACACAAACATCGACCCAAGAGATTTCTTTTTTAGGGCTTCTACTTCTGCACCCTTCCCTATCACCTGGGATGCTTTAGGAAGGGCCTATAGCTTTAAGCATATCCCACCCTTCCCAGATGCCACAGTTAATGCCTGTAAGTAGGCCTGTGTAGCTGTCCTCTCCTGAGCAGCTGGGACTGTTTCAGGAGCTATGTGCTTTTACATCACCGGGTAGCTTCAGATTAGTGGGTGGTTACTGGTGACGAGGGCCCTACTCATGTGAACAGTGATCCCAAAAGGTGGCAAGTCTTCATTATTAGAGTCATGCCTCATACTTAATATAAACTTTCCTGTGACTAAATAGGACCAAGTGAGCATGACAGAGGATGAGTTTGCTTTGCCTGTTGCTGGAGCCAGCAAGGGCCACAACTAATAAGGGTGTGAAAGTTCTTATTTTTTCTACTCAGTCTATCTTAGCTTTCTTCCCTGTGACTAAGGTAACAACCAGAAGCCTGGCTCTGCCCTGCTGATTAGCTGCTGCCCTGCAGAAAAAGCCCTGGGCTTGGATGCACTCACAGAATATCAGTTCCCCTAGTGGGTCCTTGGAACAAAGGAATCCGTTCCTCCTTCCCTTATCACCTGCCCAGGCCACGTGCAAATTTGGATCCCAGCCATGCACAAGAGCCTGCATGGAATGCCTTGCGCTGGCAGGGTCCTCCTGAAGAGTTACAGAGCAGGAAGGGTTACAGTAGGATTGAAAGGAAGTCTATGGGGCTTTCCGGCGTTTGGGCTGGCATTCACTTCCACAGACCAACATGAATCGACTGGGTTTGGAAGAGGACTGTCCCAAAGAAAGCTTTTCTGGGGCTGGCTGGGATGGCTGATGAGGAGCAACGATGCGACTGGGCATTGTGGCTGCTCAATGCCATTCAAGGTAAGGTTGGATACTTGCTTGCTAAGATAAGAGGGAATCAGTCTCATATTTCAGGACGCAAGTTGGACAGGAAATACCGTTTTACTCAAGGACACAAATTTGGCAGGATGCTTTGCTGGGAGTAGGCGTGATGGATTTTGTCTTCCTTTGAAACACCAGGTACTGGCTTTGTGTCAGCGAGGGAAGAGAGGCACTGCAGATCCAGGGCTGGGTAACAACTGCATGGATTAGGTAGATATACCCGCAGGGAAGAGAGCGATTCCCAGCCTGCCTATACAGCTGCAGAATCAGAACAGCACACAGAATGGTCACAACGTGCTCTAGCTCCAAGAGATACAGACACCCCAAAGGGTATATTATGGTAGGTCAGTATACACAGGCCTCTGGAAGGAAAGCTACTGGCCTTGAAGGACTGCTTTGCTCCAGTATAGAGAACGCTGTATGGCTGTTAGTGCACTCATTTACACTGATGCAAATGTGAAGTAACTTCTTTGATGCTGAGGGCTTTACTCCTGATTTACACCAGTGTGACTAATAGTAGAATTCTACTCTATAGGCCTAAAAATCCTCTGGCCCAGGCATTTGCAATCACTGTATAATGTGACAATAACATTCCTTTGGAGAATTCAGAGTGACAAGAGAAATGTTAGATGGCAGTTCTCATAGGATGGAAGTTTGTCCCCAGTAGAGATAGGGAGAATAAAATTTTCCTCTCCTATGTAGTGTCCTACAGTGGGATAGATAGATACCTTCTGGTTTTAGCCAGTGCCGAATGTAGCCCCACTAGTCATATGCCCATCACTTGCCCTATTCCACCCCACTACTTCTCTCTGTGGGTCACCAGGGAATCCTGCCTTGGAAAGCTGCTCCACTGCTTACAGGGGATGTAGAGTCTTTAAGCAGCCTGCCATAAGGGAACCAGGCAGTTGCTGGCACAATTCCAGCTTTGAGGATAGCTAAGGAGAAGGATCAGGACTATCCTGTTTACAAATAGGGCTAAATTAATCTCCTGAGTAATTTCATTGAAACCATTGCTGCTACACCAGGAACGTACTTGATCCATTATGGGTGTTTTAAACTCACACAGATGAAACATTGATGGGTCTTTTTATTTCCTTCATGCATTTCTGTGCTGTCTTAAATTCAGTGCGTTCAGGATGTTATCCAGACAAATGTGGCTGTGGGCAATGTAGAGTTCCATGTACAACCACCTTAGGGAACACGCCAGTGTTTCTGCAACACTTAAGAGCTATTAGTTCTTCGGATCCCTCTTCATTAACAACCTGGAGGACATAAGGTCTTGCAGCCTTGCTCCCTAAGAGTGATTCAGTAATGTCTGTGTGCCCACTGTCGGTAAGTGCTGAAATATCATTTAATGTATGCAAGGGAGGACTCCTTCACAGAAATGCATAAGGCCGGATTCAAGTGGGCTGGCTTTTAATTTGCTTTCTTCTGGCTTGAAATACAGCTCCTTTAAGAGCCAAATCAGAATGGAATTTGTTTGTGGCCTAGCCTCACTGAGTCTGACCAATAATAAATCTGATCAAGAGCTTTATAGAGTGAACAGTAGCACAAGCCTGGCTGGTTTCTTAGTGTCTTCCCATGTCACCTGCTATCTACCCTCTCCTGTGCTGGACTCTTTGAAAGCATACTTTGAATATGTTACCTGAGAGTTACAGAATAAAACTAAAGCCTGAAAGGGACCTTTCAGCTGGTGATGATGCTGGTAGCTTAGGAGTGGGGAAACTGAAAAATTCAGGTAAACCTAAAACTTCAAATCTTTATCCAGACTTACTGGATTCTGAATCTTTTCAGGGATTTTCTGTTGCTCTGCACCCTGAATGGTACATTGGTCTTTATCTGACAAGTACTATCTCACACAGCTGCATTACTTATGATCAGTGTGCCCTCTTATCTTTTCCACCCAAGTGCAGAATAATTTTATGTGCCAGTGTGCACCACTAGTAAAAAAAACAACCTAGCTGTGGGCACACTGCTAACATGTTGGGAGGCATTGGAATCTCCCCTGAGCGGGTGCACAAGTGCCCAGCTAACAGGGAACACAGATCAGGATTCCATGCCCCAGTGCAGCTTGTGCTCACTTTGCACTCTTCTCACATCCCACGAGCCTCACTACTCTGCTGACAACATCGTCTCCCAGGGGCGAATAAAATTGCCCCATGACTCCATCCTTCTCACATCTCTAGCCCTTTCCCAGAGCTGAGAGCCTCTTCCCCCTGCTCTTTGCCTCCAATGAAAATGCAAGTTACTCAGCTCTTCCATGTTCTTCACTTCTTCCCTGAGGGGCCCCCAGGGCTTTTGGGATGAGTTCTCCAGGCTGGGTGACTGTACAGGGCTGCAGCTGAAACCCCTTAGTCTTTCATCAAAGGCAACTGAAAGGATGGGTCAGTTGGGTGAGGTGCAAGTGATGATCTACTGGTAGTTGGCATTGTGGTTCCCCTCCCTCCCCCTGAGGAAGGTCCAGTGTTTTACAGGCTTGTTTTTAATTGTCCTAGCAGGGAAAGAATTCCAAGGGGGAAGGCCCTCTGCCACCAGCACTTTGCCCCAGAATTTTAGTATCTTGGGGTACATCTAGATTGCATTGCTCTTTCAGGATACCAGAAGTATTCCAAAATAGCAATGCCATGTCTTTAAAAGCGCCCATTATTTCTCAAAATAGTGGGCATGCTATTCCAGCGTCCCTGTAACCGGCGTTCCATGAGGATTAAGGAATTTGTCAGAATAGTGCCTTATTTTGAAATATGGCACTGTGTAGACAGCGCCAAATTTCAAAATAAGCTTTTTCGACTTAAACTCAGAATAAGTTACAGAATTTGTGTAGTGCAAATTGTGTAGCTTATTCTGACAGAAGAGTGCTATCAAGGCGCACCCTTGGAGTACTTGGCCTGTCACTATCACAAGTTATGGTTTAACTCTCAAAGTTTGTGTATCTCAGTGCTTTCATTTTGAAATACCTCTTATGGACTTCTGGGGAGAAACCTTTTTTTGTTTGTTTGTTTAATCCTTTCTCCATTTAAGAGCAGACTCCCTGGGCTTCCAAACAAGAAGTTTAGAAATCCCTCTCCTGCCTTGACGTTTCCTTGGCTTGACTGAAAAGGTCTTGAAACAAAAGGAATGACTAAGGCTACATCTACACTGCACCTCTCTTGCGCAAAAGCCTATGCAAATGAAGTGTGGATTAGCATATTGCCATGCTTCATTTGCATAATTAATTAGGGTCTGTTTTTGTGCAAGAGACTTCTGCACAAAAAGGAGTTGTGTAGACGGCTCCTTTTTGCGCAAAAAACCCCTCTTGCGCAAGAGTCGTTATTCCTGGAAAAAATGAGGAAAAATGGCTCTTGCGCAAAAGGGGGGGTTCTGCATTAAAAGGAGCTGTCTACACAGCTCCTCTTTGCGCAAAAGCCTCTTGCGCAAAAACAGACCCTAATTAATTATGCAAATGAAGCATGGCAATATGCTAATCCACACTTCATTTGCATAGGCTTTTGTGCAAGAGAGGTGCAGTGTAGACGTAGCCCTTGAGGGCAAGGATTTCCCTATATTTACATAATAAATTTTAACAAAGGGACAGTGACCTGTGAGTGACTTCCCGTTCCCCTTCCTTTTACAAGTGCATGACACTCTGGGACAAATGCAACCACCACAGATAAGTGATTGGTGTGTGGTGGCTTTTAATCCATGTGACTGTTAGCACCATGTGAGCAGCCAGTACTTCATGGTTTGCCCAAAGATATGCTGCAGACTTCACTCTGAGAATCATTCATTGTCACGAGAAACCTTGGAGTTGCCTTATATTGAGGGGTCCTTTGTTTCTTCACAGCTGTCTTGTTTGTGTTAAGTCCGACTAAGTAATGCCAGATTTAACAGCCTTTTCCTCTGCCTCACAGGAATGGACAGAGATTATCTGAAAGTTGGGTATTTATAAAGGTGAAGCTGTGGAACCTTTATGGGAGGTCATTGGTGGCACTTTGAAATGCTGATCCTTAGCAAGATATGTCCACAGGTAGCTTCAGACTATTGCACTATAGTGCTGAAAGCCACAGACAAGTGGCAAGGAGGGATTTATCTAGCATTTACCAGGTGAACTCTTGATATGTAATAGGTAATTTCAGTTAATGGTAAACCTAGGGAAATGCATTTGTACCACATACTAGACATGTTCTCTGAAGTATCTGTTGGTTAATAACTAGAAATGCCTGGGAATGAACCACTGGATTTGCCACTAATTGCTGTTCAAGCATTCAGCTGTCCCTTGAGAGAATAAGGGACAAATTAAGATTTGAGATGTTTTGGGCATAAAAAAAAATACCAGCTGAGAGAGAGGTTAACTAAAGAGAAAATATGTCCTATCGCGTGAGAAAACTTTGCCACAAGATACGTCATGTATCCTATCATCTCACCTCTCTGCTGACCCAGTGAGCAGTTTCTAGGAGGCCCGAAAGCCACAGAAATAGCCATTCTCACTGAATAGACTCTTCTGAGGTGTAATCAGTTTGGCAATTCTCCTTCCTCATTTAGGGCCTGATCATATAGGAGAATTCATTTTGACTCCAGGGTGAGGCTACTCATCTGATTAGTAACTGGCAGGAAGGAGTCGAATGTGAACAGTCAACACGGTGTTGCCAACTTGATTGCAGGCTATTTTGTTGTGGATCCTTTTTCCCTCCTCACTGTTCACCTAGAGTTCCATGGTTGCTATAGTAACAAGGGAATGCTATTAACGGTGTAGAAAGCTATAAATGCTCTGGTCTTAAAAGTGAGGGTTGCCTCATTCCTAGAGTGGCTCCTGGGTGACATTAGACAAGTTACTTCACTTCTCTATTCCTCAGTTTTTCACATCTGTAAAATTTAGATAATGATGCTTACTTCCTTTGTAATGCGCTTGGAGCTGTACTAGTGAAAAGTGCTACATAAGAACTCGGTAATATTCCTTTAAAAATAAAAGAACCCGATCCTACAAGCCCCATGTGTCTTAATTTTCAGTGGTGTTTACATGTAAAGATTTGAAGGACCAAGTCATACAGATAATAGGTTCACATATAGGTATTAATTAGATGATGGTATAAAGTTGAGAGCCTGGATGGTGACAGATGCATATTAACAAGTGGAGAATACAATTAATTAATAATTAATCTCTTAATTATTATTCATGTAGCACCAAATGCAAGTGTTTTAGAGACTAAATAGTTCAGTCTAAACTGACATTATAGATCCCGGGAGTGAGGTGGGAAGCAAGTAACAGGCCAGGTGGATAGAGAACGGGAGGAATACAAAGAACAGGTTATGGAGCTGCTTGGTAGTGCTACATGCTTCAGATTTTGCCTCCCTGGCCAAGAAATTTTCCTTCTTGCTTTATTTAGTGGAGTGCATTAACTGGTTCCACACCAAAGTGCTTCTGCCTCCCCCCTGCCTTCCATGCTGAAACATTAATTTATGCATGCAACAATTAAGGAAAAAAAGGCTGGATTCTAGGGAACATGGAGGAAATAATGTAGTCTTTACTCAGGCCAAACTCCTACTGAACTCACATTTACATTGTTGCAAATGGCTAGATCAGTGGTTCTCAAAGTACAACCCAGTCCTGGGGCGTGGAATGTCAGGCATATGGTCTCATTGCTGCACGGTGACCAGGTGACCAGTGGGAGTGCTAAGGCAGCTTCCTGCCAGTCCTGGCACCAGATTACGCAACAGGCTTGGCTCCTAGATGAGTGTGGAAGAATGCACAGGACTTCATGCATTGCCCCTCCCCTGAGCACTAGCTCCACACTCCCATTGGCAGGGAACCTGCTGCTCACTGCTTGTGAGGTGCAGCCTGGTCTGCAGTGCCAGAAGAGGCAGGGAGCCTGCCTTAGCACTCCTGTTGCACTGCTGACTGGGGGCTGCTTGAGAAGTCCCTCCTACATCCCAAAGCTCTCATCCTCAGCCCCACCCTGCAGCCTACCCTCTAGTCAAATTATGTTGGGTCATGGGCTTCAACAATTTTCTTCCATTGGGTAATGAGAGAGAAAAAGTTTGAAATCCCCTGGGCTATAGATGGTAGACAAGGAGAAAACCCCACATGGGGCATATCTAACAGCTCAACTTTCCAGTAGCTCACCAGGCATGGTGACAGGAAAAGGTCATAGTACCTTTATCGATACACCTTTGCTTTCAGTTAGGGTGCATGTACACAGCAGTGTTGTTTTGGAATAGCGGCCGCTATTCCGAAATAACAGTGCGAGCATCTACACAGCAATTATTTTGAAATAAAGGACGGCTTATTCCAACTTCTGTAAATCTCACTCCACGAGGAATAAAGCCTATTCCAAAATAGCTATCCCCAGGATGGAGCTGACTCCTCCATTAGGAAAACAGGATAAGGGCTGCTGTGAAGGTAGGGAGGGGGCCTGGGTTCTAGAGAGGCGTAGAGCAGGACTACTCAACATGCGGCCTACGGCCTGTTTGTTTGCAGCCCATGGGTGGGAGCCACAACAAAAAAGTAGTCAATATAATGGTCTTCTCTTTACATGCATTTTAGTCATTTAATTCCTGGACCATCATTGCTCATTAAAAGTGCTGTCGTGTGTGTGGAAGTTGGGTAAATATTGCATTTTATTAATATCAGCAGAACTAGCTTAAATGTGGCCTGCATGTTGTGTAGTCTTGCCTTAATCTTTGTCTTCATGCCCATCAGTGTGAAAGAGGCTATTTGCATATATTTGCATATATATTTGCACAACCACACTTAAGTTGCAGCCCTCAGGATGTGTGATGAGTATCATTGTACCCTCCACCCCCGTCCTCCCCAGCCTTCCAAAGCTGAGTAGCCCTGCCCTAGAGGATAGGCTATTTGATTGGGGAACCACAAGGTTGTGGGATTGAGTCCTGCCCATTCTGGGTGCAGCTGGACTGCCAGCACCATTTGCTGCAGAGATGGAGCTGGCTCTCCCATTAGGAAAGCAGGATAAGGGACACCCTGAAGGTGTAGGGAGGTAGGGTGGGTTCTGGAGTGAGAAAGGGCATGCTCCATTGCTGCTGTTTTGAAATGGCTCCTCCCATGGGCCATTCACAGTAATTACTCCCCAGTGCCTCCTGGGGCTCTAAATCCAGGCAGCACATCCACATTAGGGACGCCTACCTGGGACTACCTTTGAGGCTTCTCTGTAGGGTAGTCACACTATTTTGAAATAAGCTATTTTGCCCTATTTCTTCCAGAAGAGTTTATTTCAAAAGAAGGGGGAGGTGTAGACATACCCTTGCTGGTCTCACCCAAAGGGTGTTGTGGGGTGTTTTGTCTGGGAGCAGAGGTGTGGTGTGGTGTGGTGTGTGTGTGTGTGGGGGGGGGGGGGGGGGCGTGGTGAAGGAGACATTCTCAGGAATCCCTCACACACACAGCTCTTCCTGAACTCCAGTAATACAAGTTCCCCGGGTTTCTCCTCCCTTGTGCCTCATCCCCAGGCTAGCGCAGTCGGGCCAGGCAAGTGTTAACTTCCCCTGCAATGCTGCATCCCAGCTCACGGGGGAGCTGCCCTCCTCTCTTCCCGCGCCCGGTTCCCACGGCGCACCGCTGGACCAGAATTGCAGGGACACGCTAGAGGGGCAGCCCAGACTTGTTGATCTCCGTTCAGCCACCGCGCAAGGGAGCAGCGACGCGTCCCTGGGTGTCTTGCAAAAGACCCCATGTGGCTCCATCTTGGAACGTAGACGGGGACGGAGAGAGACAGCCCCCTCCCGGCGCAGGCCTGCGGGGAGCTGCTGGCAAAAGGAGCCTGGAATAATCCGCAGTTTCCAAGCGTCTGTGGATCCATTCGCCCCCCGCCGGCACGGGGGTCCTTGGCCGCACGGGAGTATCCCCGCGACCGCGCTGCCTGCGGCTGCCGGGCAGGGATGCAACCAGCCGCGGGGGGCCGGGCGATTGCTGGCTGATGCAGGATGTAACCCCCCAGCGGGTTCTCCGCCCACAGCCCGGCTCTGTGGGGATCCTTAGCGGACGAGGTAGGCTCGCCTGGGGCTTCGGGGTGAGACGCGTTTGCCGGTCGTTAAGCTCTCGAGCCGGGGTCCCGGTCAAGGGGCAGACTCGGCTTTGGAGGGTCCGGTCCCGGCACGGGCCGGGAGGGCGCCTGGGAGCCCTCGAGTCTTTGCCGGGGGGAGGGCTGGGCAGGGAGGATAACTTTAAGGCCGCCTTGTGCAAGCAACAGTGCCGGGGGCCGCTGCGAGGCAGCCGCTTTCGTAACTCGCTGGTGCGGGGTTTCTGAGGAGGATCGACGGCCCGAGTTGATTTATGTAGGATGGAGGTGGCGGCAGAGTCCCTGGAAGTGTCCTCCAAACTGTGAAAAGCCTTGGCTGGCCGTCAGTCCCGCCCTTCCCCCCCAAACCTGCTCCTCGGGGCGAGGCACAAGCGGGGAGTTATAAAACGCAGCGGCCGGCGAGAGAGACCAGAGCTCCCATTGACCCTCAGTGCGTGGCAATAGGAGTTGATTTATGTAGGATGGAGGTGGCGGCAGAGTCCCTGGAAGTGTCCTCCAAACTGTGAAAAGCCTTGGCTGGCCGTCAGTCCCGCCCTTCCCCCCCAAACCTGCTCCTCGGGGCGAGGCACAAGCGGGGAGTTATAAAACGCAGCGGCCGGCGAGAGAGACCAGAGCTCCCATTGACCCTCAGTGCGTGGCAATAGGCTAGTCCCTCCTGGGGGGCGCGGGAGGGGACCCGCAGCCTTAATTGCAGCCCTGTCTATGCTGGCTGGGGGGCGCAATCTGCTCGCTCCAGGGGGGGGGGGGGGGGGGACCCC